GACATTCTAATAAGATAATTGAGCTCTATGCTACAGTCGTGGTGGTCGGTATTAACAGATTTGAAAGAATTGGATGACTGAGGAGACTTAGTCTATATAGCCATTTGGCAGAGATATTTCTGATTCTGTTCTATTCATGTATTGATGCTATATGTTGTTAGCAATCAGGGAGAAAATAAAAAGCAATTCCTGGTAAAGTTATTGGGGTAGATAAAAATTAATTGTTGGGATGGTACAAGTAACAGGTGGCACTTGCCCAAGACAACCCTCAAACACCAAGCTCATGAAAAACCTGCCCTGGTACGTCTCAGTATAAGGTACAGCAGACAGGAAAGGAGAACATGGGCTTCATTTTAAAACAGGGACGGCAATCCTGGACAGTCATGAGTCTGAAAAACATTCAGAGGTTGTGACATATGCCATCTGAACACAAACATGCCGAGCGGGAGAGCATCACTGCTGACGCCATCCTCCTCCCAGACTGCGTAAATAACCAGGTAATGTCCAATCTAAGGTTCCTGAGGCATTTGTGTGGATCTCACATCCACATGGCCAAGAACAACTCTTACACAATCATAACGCAACCGCATTTTGAACGTTGGGCGGAGTTCTACTCCCTTCATCTCAAAGTGATGCACGAAGATCAGTAACGGGACAGGGAAAGCCTGTGCCTGTGGTTAAAGGTTGGGTGACAGCTTCCACGCAGGGAATGACATAGAATTCCGGCCTGAGTAAGGACAGAAACGGCAGGGATCTATGTTGTTTTGAATAACATGATGAAGAGGAACAGACTGTAGTTGCCCACATACTCGTAGAATACGAGAGGTAAAGGGCATCAAATGAAACAAGAAGATGACAGCATAAAGACAAATAGAAGGAAGTGATCAGCACAAACTGTGTGGTGGTTTGACCTTGGCTGGACGCCAGGGGCCACCAAGCCGCTCAATCGCTCCCCTCTTCAGCCAGCCAGGCGGGGAGAGAATGAGATGGAAATGAAAGAAAACTCGTGGGTCAAGACAAAGGCAGTTTAGTAAAAAGCAAAAGCAAAGGCTGCACAGAATAGCAAAAGGAAAAACAAGATTTTATTCTCTACTTCCCATCAGCAGGCGATGTCCAGCCCCTTCCAGGGAAACGGGGCTTCAGTACGCATGGTTGTTGCTCCAGAAGACAAAATGTCATGAAAGACGAATGTCCCCCCCTGCCCTTCCTTTTCCCTTAGTTTTTATATCTGAGCTGACGTCACATGGTATGGAACATCCCTGTGGTTGGTTTGGGTCAGGTGTCTTGGCTACATCCCCTCCCAAGATCTTGCCCCCATTCAGCCCACTTGGGGGGGGGGGGGGGGGGGGATGTTGGAGACACAGCCGTGATGCTGTGTGAGCTCTGCTCAGCAGTAGCCAAAGCACTGGGGTGTGATCAACCCCTTTCTGCATGCCGATAGAAAGCAGAGTGCCATGCAGCTCGACCCAACACAACCTGCAATTATGTTATCCTTGCCACAAGCACATCAGAATGCTCAAACACACATGGGTCCAAAAAGTGATGGGTCACATTTATGGAAGAAAACAAAAATAAATCTCTACAACTGGTAAATACAAAGGTGCCCTTTTAACTCAGAAGTACCTGAAATGGAATGTGCAGAGCTCAGGGGTGGGGATGGATGTCCTAGGGAAGGGCTTTTCTATACCTGCTTTGTCCTTCTACCCTTTGATAAGTACCATTATGGTTTGCTGGTCCACCCGTTATGGCATGTCGTGCTCTTTACTGAGGAACAGGCCAGATCGAGTTGTAGCCAAGCAGCTATTTGAGGCTGGGAAGCCTACAGGGAGATGCTGATGGAGCTGAGCTTCCAGTGAAAGGAAGGGATTGCTAGGAGTAGGCAATGCTTTGGCTGCACAGACCCGGTGGCTGCAGCTGGAATGGAAACTAGAAATGGGATGCTTTTTCCCGAGCGCATCACTCCCACTTGGGTAGCTGCACTGAGAACGCGGCAGCGGGCTCGTGTGACTTCAGCCAGCCACGAGGGCATCTCTTTCTGACTGGTCTGCCCAAAAACCCAGGTGGGTGCTGAAGCAGGAACAACAGCCTGTGCCCAAAAGGCATTCCCGGTAAACCTGGGACGCAGTAGCAATCAGCGGCTGCCTGTGGCAGTTGGTAAAAACACATCAGAAGCACATGCCCCTGTGCTGATAATGTCACATGCTTGCCATCCTGGGTTGAGATCATCGCCCGCACGCGTGGGACAGCTAAATTTCCCTGGTGTAACTCCTGTCCAGCAACAGCATTCAGCACTGCGTCAGAAATTTCCCCTTTAGAAACCTGAGAGCTTGTCATGGTGCCAGAATGTGCTCTGGGACACCTAAACCTTTTTAATTCTCTTCTTGTAAAGGTTTTCAAAAATCAGTTGCTAATCAATTAGTGTAACTGAGTCAGACGCAGAGCATTTGTTCTCAGCCTGCACTTAGCTTGAACTTTTCTGATTGTTTCCATTCTGAAAAAGGGCCTGAGTGCCCAAAAGCTTTTCTGGCGGGTTTTTCTGGGTTTGGTTTTGTTTTTTCCCCCAGTTAAATCAGTCATTCTGTAAACGACACTCCCCTTTTCCTACCAGCCTCACATTGCTTGAAAACGGTTACTCAGTGGCATCCTTATGCACCCTGAAACCATGCCCTTTTAATTCTAGAGGGACCCCAGGTGAAATCCAGTCTATGAAGACCTGTGCCTGGGGAGGGCTTGCCCCCCTCAGCCCCCCCGCTTGTGCTGGGATCCCCTGCCTGCAACCCCGGTAGCTCCGCAAGGAGCCCTGCAAATTCCCCTGCAGAACCAGCAGGGGCCCTCCATGACGAGAGGTGCCCGTCCATGCCAAGATGCCTTCGCCCAAAGAGGAACTGGCAGCGCCAGGAGCCGGCCTGCCCATGCACGTAGCAGCACCACATGCTCCTGCGTTTGCGGAAGCAAAACACTGCAGGTTCACCTCTTTCACCCTGAGTTGCCCTCATCACCCAAATGCAGAGTGGGCTTCAGACCTAGCAGCCGTAGTCAGCAAGACCTGAGGCATGGCCTTAAGGGAGCTGCAAGAAACAACTACAAAATAAAGCAAACCCTTAAATTAATCCTTCCCTGTCCTTAAGGTGATATAAGGTTGGTGGCTGAGCGCATGTCCCTGCACATAAGTGTTATTGCGGGCACATGGGCGGTGCTGAAAAGCAGGGCTGGTGATCCAGCCCACACATGATGCTCTGCAGGCTGCCTTCGCACCACAGATTCAGGCCAAGCCATTCCCCACTGTGCTGCCACCAAAAGGGCCAGAGCCTCCGCTCTCAGCTCCTCCCCCAGTCACAGGCATGAGCGGGCTAAAAATGGACACAGTAAAGTGGCGATTAGAATTTGGGAATAAGAAGACTGCGGGACCTGCTCCCACAACAGAGGATCCTACACAGACACAGCAGCCAGTGGGAAAGTGGTGCCATCAGGCTGGGGTCCTGCTCCGGTTCAAGGGAAACGCGCTACTGATGCCTGTTAGGAACAGGGCCCGTTACCTAGGTGTTTTAAAAGTTTTGGCTCTCCTGCTCCCTTCATCCCTGTTTTGCAGATGGTGTGTCTGCTTGAGCCAACACCTCGCCTCTGCCTGTGACTGTCGTACAGCACAGCTAAACCCTTTCAAGTTACACCGTCCCTGCACTGCCGTAGTCATACCAGCACACAGGGGCTGCCACAACTGGTTTCCTGACGCCTTCCGTAGGCTGTAACATGTGAATGCATTCCAGTTGCGTCCCATGAGCATTCACGCTGTGGTGCATCGCTGGTGTGCGTGCGTTAGGTGCACGCTGAACCTCACATCTCCAGAGCAGCATTGGCGAGTTGTGTAAGGTGGTGATGATGAGGGAAGCAGAGCTACACCCTGTGTCCCCCCCAAGGCGGAAAAAGACAGAAGCATTGGGTCTGCAGAGCCTTCAGAGCTGTGTGTTCCAGTGTACCAGCACCGATGTGGGCGTCAACAGAGGCCTCGACAGAGGAGCAAACAGCAGCGCTGTGCTGGCGTACCGTCTGCCAGCCAGTGGCAGTCAGCGTGCCTCGAGACAGATGCATGGAGGGGGTTCGTTACAGCAAAGCTTTAAAGGACAGTTAGTGCTTTGATTTCTTTACAACTTCTAAAGTTTCTTCACGACGTTTTTAAATTGCAGAAACAAGTGCTACCCTTTACTTGCACAGAGTGCAGTGCAGCCTGCACGTGGACCTGTAACTGTGCCCTGGTAGATGCTGGGCTGCCGTGGGGCTGGCTGCGTCAGGACACGCTTCCTCTTGCCCCGCATCAAAGTCCCCAGTGCTGGCACAAGCACTGCAGTCCTGCCCCAAGCTGCAAAGCCAGGAACCCCAGACATGGTACCTGCCTCAGCCCTGTGCCCACCAGACCTCCCCCCACATCTGCTGAGCAGCAGACAGATGTGTAGGGCTGAGAGTGCACGTGCCGCGACGCACAGCACGTCACACGGATGAGTGCTGTCAGGACAGTCTCAAAGCAAGGCAGAAGTTGTACTCTGGTAGGCGTAGCCAAAGACTAGGGTTTATTCCACGCCCCTTTGGGTACAAACTGTAAACAACGTGACTGAAGACAGGATCTCAACAAGTGCCCAGGGCACCAGCGCTGCCTGGTTCAGGTCAGAGTTTGGGATAGGGAGGCTTACCGCCTACAGCCAGAACTGTGATCCGTGCAGCATATTTGCTCCTTGTCCCACAAAATGCCCTAATCCCCATATCTTGATTTTTTTAGTGAGTCGGCAGATTGTCCTGGTTAGTATGGGTAACCAGGATACTCCAAAATAGGTGCAGGAGGCAGCGCACAAGGCTGGCTGGGACAGGGACAGCGTCAGGCTCAGCAGGGGGGGCTGGCATGGCCTGGTGGAAGGTGTGCAAGGAGAAGGGGTGAGCTGGGCGGCACAGGCTGCACCAGCAAGGGTGGAACATCTGCACAGAAAGGCACAGTGGGACTGGAACCGCAGCCCTTAGTAGAGGACGTCCTCGAAGCTGAGCAGCAGGAAACGGCGCAAGGCACTTGGCAGGCACAGCTGAGACAAGACCAGAAGCAACCGGCCCTCCAGGAAGGTCCTGAGCGTGCAGCGAGCCAAGTGCTGCAAGGAGCGAGGTCTTTGCTCCAGGGAGAAAAGGGACTGGTAGAAACGTGGGTATTTCTACAGAGAGAGGAGAGAGGGCCAGAGGCAGGTAAAGCTGAAGATACCACCCCGCAGCAGAGGTAGAACCAGACATACCTTTACCTTACAC